TTTTGTGTCAAAAATCTCCATTATTTATATTCATTTAGTCACTTACTTGTTTGAGCAAACTTTTCCAGTGCAACAATGGAATGCAAAATCACAATTGGATCACAGTCAGATTCCTGGCAACAGAACAGTAATCAAAAGATTATCACAGATTATCACAATTATATAGCTAATGCACAAGTGAATTAGTATCACTGAATGTAAATAAAATTCCACAGGTATCAATAATAAAAATTAACTCAATTTGTGATAGAAAATTAATTTTGAAATATTCATGAATTGCGTATATAAGTGGAAACATTCATTTCACTTACCAAGTTAGTAAATAAATAGTCCAGTACATTGCCAGTCATCAAGCAAGTACTGTTTGGGCCTGAAAAATAAAAACATCACTTCTAGATATACTTAAATTGAATTCACTATTCTGCATTCATTTGTTCTGGAATAAAATAATCAAGACCTGTTCTGGAATAAAAAAAAATCAAGACCTTCCATGCAGAGGGAATAAGAACAACACTTCTAGTGCAAATACTAACCGAGCAACAAGTGCTGGAACTGGACTCCCCCCCATGCAACCACCACCAGTGAATGGTTATGGTTCTGAATCATTGAATGGTATTTTTGTTCCAAAATCATGCACTCCACAAGTGAGATGTCAAGTAACAAAAAAAAAAATAAAGATAATAAAAATAAATAAATAATAAAACAAGGTCATCCATTATCCCATGACTTAACCACACTGCCCTTCTTACCTGCCATTTTTTCTGCCAAACATCCCAACACAATACATGTATTCCTTTGCCTCTGGATATTTTTGGATTTCCTCTCATCTAAGGCAGTCTTCTTTCCTATCTTGAGATTTGAGGTTATCTTTGCTATTGTCCCCTGAAGTATAGCAACAGACATTTCATTAACAATTGATTCCACTATCAAACCTGGGAAGAATTCATGTGATTAAAAAAAACTTTATAATCAACTTCAAAATAGTTTTCAAAAATTGCCATCATACACCCTACTAATTGCTATAAAAAATCTTTTCTATTTGCAGGTGGAGAATGTAAAAGGTGATTTATTCCAATTTTTGTATCGTGTCAAAGATATAAAGAGGCTTATTGTCACTTAGAGGAAAATAATAAATTAAATTCTGAATAAAAATCTCCACCTAACTGGGAGCCAATAAAGCTATTTTAAAAGATGTTAAGTGAATAGTGTGGTCACCACCATACCCCTACCTTACTAGGCAATGGACATTCGTCCAGTAGTAATGTGATAGTAGCAGGACCCAGGGGGTCTTCCAGTGGTATGACCTTGACCAAAGAACTGACCACAAGTAGCCATCCACTTTCTGTGTCTGCAATCTTATGTATGGCAAGCAAGGAATGGGGTAGAGCTCGGTCACTGAAATATTCAAAATATGAAATAAATTCTCTGGATCAGTTTTTACAGCTGAAAGGCAATTCAACAATGCTTTCCCATAGAATCGTATGACATTTTTACCAATCTATAATACTTTCTGCTATGCCCTTTCCATCCAATTTTAGTCCAAGAATAAGGTTCAACTGATTTTGCCCTCATTCACAATGCACGATGAAAACACTTTGTTGTAGAAAAAATACCGTAGTTTAAACCTTCTTATCTGCTCCAACCCACTTACTTATCCACCAAGGTTTTGATGTTATACATAGTGTTCAGGATCAAGCTCTCTATAATGTCCAAGTGATTAAGTGGCTCCGTGACAATATGACCCAGGGGCACCTGTCTACGTGATGGATTATCCACACTGTCACTGATCTCCCCAGGGTGTCCCTGTGATCCCCGGGGCGTATCCTTACACAGGCAAGCACCCATGGTTGAAGTGTAAATCCTACTGAGGAGTCTTTGAAAGGAGGAGGACTGGAGGGTGATGACAGAGAGCCAAACCAGAATGATCATCACTGTCCAACGCCTGGTTTATTTATATGATATCAGTCTTCATCCTGGGCCACAGCATCACAGTGGAGACATGGCTTTTATGTTACTCATTAACAGCAGTCACCTGATTTCACAAACCTATATAATAAAGAAAAATTTATGTACAAAACTGAAAAAACAATGCCCTGTGACTGATAACTTCAAAAAAGTCTATTTTTTGTCATAATGCAGATCAAAATGTCACAAAACGTCCTGACAAATCATTAATGATACTTTTACCTGACTGGAGCTGACAAGAAATGTGATATAAAGAGATACTGAATCATCAAACTGGTCAAGTATATTTGCCGATGATATAAAGGTTAACAAGTGCCCTTCACATCTGAACAGCAGATAATGAAATATTCCACCTATCAACATCTGCTGTTATTACTATAACATCTGTAAGAAAGTACCACTTCAGAGATGAGCTTACATGCAACCTTCAGAGAAAAAACAGAGTGAGCACCTCTGAACAACTTGCAAGTACATATCACTTACTCTCTGACCACAAGGGTTGCTAGTAGTTTTTTTTTTACGATATGGTATACAGAACAGACCTGCAAATGCAAAAGCCATATGATTTCCTTCCACTCATATCAATTGATAATAAAACTTTTCCTCTTAACAAAAAAAAATTCCCCTAAAGTCAAAGTGCAGTTGACTCATTGATATAAATATTAGATAGTTGGGGCTTAAAGCAATAATAACTCTTCCTTTGAGATTAAAAAATCCACAAGAAATACATTGTAAACAATGCATGGAAATGTATTCTTTTGCATTTTACCACTAAAACGGCCGTTATTGTAGTAAAACTAAAATCTGTGCTTGTCAGTAGGGCTTTCGATGCCTTTCTTCCCGGTCGTCAAGGCATTCGTTGCCAATGACATTTGGGTGTCATGCGGATTCTCGTGTTCATTTGAGACCAAAATAACATATGGCGCCAAACGCTAGTGCAGTCCGCAGACGTAAGTTGCGAGTTTTTGTACAGTGCGTCGGATAACGAACAGCCCAGAATGGCACACATTGTGGATATAAATGCATTTTTAACAAAAAGACGAATATATATCATGAATCTTATATTATTGTTATATAGTGTTGTTGTTGTCTGCTTTTCCCGCGGCTTAAAGTAGGTCACCAGTGACTATGCAATGTCAGAGAGAGCTTCGTCAGTTAAAATCTCTTAAGAGATTTTAACAAAAAACTGTACGTTTAGGAAAAAACCCTGGATTAACTTTGAATGCAGGAATGGGGTCGTTGACCATTGGTAATTACGGGAAAATTGGCGTTTTTTCCAGGAAAATCCAATTTTTGGCCAAAACGAAGAGTTATTATGACTTTAATGGTGTGACAGTTTCTTTAGGTGATATTTTGTTTCAATGGCCTTGCTATACCGATCTTTCACTTCAAGTCACTGCATTACATACACCACATAATATGGGCATAATATTCTACTTGATATATGAAATGACAATGGTAAATCACCCCCCCCCCCCAAAAAAAAAAAAACTTTATCTTATGTAACTTCTTTAAAACGGTTGAGTCATAAAATATCCATAAATTAACAATAAAATTTACAGGAAGGGTTTCACTTTTAGTTTGAAAGCCACTCAGTAAATTTAACATAAAACAAAAATATGGTCAGGGTTCTGCCGAGGCCGCGATTCTGCGAGATTCTCGCCAAAAAAATAAAATTCTCGCACAAAAATTACCAAACATGCGAAAATTCTCGCATACAAACCGAGTGAGGGTGCTTTCATTGTTCTTGAGATGATAAAAGACACATTAAGAGTGGCGTCTAAAATTGTTTATCTAAATAATCATCACCGGTATAAATTTCTTCGCATCCTCCGCTGCATTGACTTGTTAACACAGTGTAGCTAACGTCGTCATATTGCGACGATGTTTCCGATGTACCCTCGTAAGAGATCGTTTCAAGCAGCGTCGTCATTTGTTGTCGTAATATCAATAGTACCTCTTCATGACTACAGTCCAATCGGCAATCCTCGTGTGACTCCGCTGCACTAAAGTTAGTTGAGCGATTGAGCGGTTCTCTCATTTCGCGGGATAGTCTACCAATGATAGACGGCGTGACAGTGATATTCAGCCTGATGAAGCGTGGTTAAAATGGCGGCTTCCTCGCCGAAAGCGAAAGTTAAAAAACAGACATCGATTTTAAGCTTTATGCCAAAGTCTACGGCAAGCGGTGAAAAAACGGTCAGACTCCTGTTAATCCCCCCTCAGATGAATCCGTCTCTCCGCCTGACAAGTCTGAGAAAAGGAAGACACAAATTTCTGAAGTTGTGACTCCAGATGAAACTGACAGTTCGTCGACGATAAAGGTACTAGTATGTTCATTCCGTGGCATTTTTATTTTACGTTTTGGAAGGACACTTGACACTTCGTTTGAAAATGTGAAAGAAAGTAAAAAAAAGGTAATAGGCCCGTTTTTGATACGATTATTCCTCTATATGTGAGTATGAAAAAAAAACAAAAAAAAAAAAAAACGTTAAAAAATGACGGGTCCCGTTTCTGATATGTTTATTCCTCCTACGTGAGTATGATAATATGAAAAAGAAGTTGAAAAAGTTAGGAGGCCCGTTTTTGATATGTTTATTCCTATCACTCTATAGTGTATATATATGTGTGTGTGTGAGAATAAAAATTTGAAAAAAAGGAAATGTTTAACTTTAATGAAGAAGTAAGGAGGCCTGTTTTTGATATGTTTATTCCTCTGTATATGTGTGTGAGGATACTAATTAGTAATTTGAAAAAAAAAAGTTAGGGCCTCCTAATCAAGGATATTTTCATAGAATGCACTCAA